AGGAGCAGAAAGCTTCATCTTTCTCCTGCGGAACAGCTGGTAGTTTCAAACTGCTGACCTTAAGGTTTGCAGCCCGATTCGTAACCACTACGCTACCAGAGCTCCTTCATAAGCAGGGTTAGAAGAAATTAAATAGTACACAAACAAGTGTAGACAATGAAATTTAAGGTTTTACTTCATCTCCGATTTCCAGTCCTGTTTGCCAGACTGAGTTGGACCCGTGATGAAACCCCATCTAGCTCTCTCTCCAATGACTCTCAGCATTATTGCTAAATGTTTTGCATCTCGCTCTGCTGTGACTTGTCAGGTTCGCACAGCAGGTTCTGAACCTTGGCTGTTGCTGTCTTAGGGGTCCGCCCTAAGATTTCAGGATTCAGCTTCCACAGCGGGGGGGATGCATGGAGTGACTGGGCCCCTGGGGAGACCAGAATTGGTGGTTGCATGGTTGCATGTTCGCCTCTTGTGCAGGGGACCTGGATTTGATTTGCAGCCAGTGTTAAGTCAGGCACAGCTGCCAGGTGTCTGCCCATGGAGGCTTGTGTGTTGCTGTGATGCTGACCAAGTTTCAGCGGAGATTCTAAACTAAGACAACACTAGGAAGAAAGGCCTGGTGATCTGTTTCCAAAATCTACCCATGAAGACACTGAATCACAACAATGATCTGATGCACAGCCGATGGTGGGGGTGGTATAGAACAGGACAGTGTTTCCTTCAACCTGCACCAACTAGACTGCCCAACCCACCGACTACCAGCAAGTCAATTCTGACTCACAGTGAGACCTATAGGGCAGAGTAGAAATCCCTGTAGGATTTCTGAGGCTGTAAATCATTATAGGAGCAGACTGCCTTCTCTTTCTCCCACAGAGTAACTGGTGGGTTTGAACTGCCAATCTTGTGGTTAGCAGTCCAGTGCTTCACCCTCTGCACTACCACTGCTCCTTAACTAGACAGCAGCTAGTCATAACAATGAGGAGAAAAGGATTTCCGTTAGCTGCCTGCTACTTTCCTTTGCCACTCCTTAAGCAGTGGTGCTGAGAGAACACCCCAAGCTCATGCAACCTCAAAATCACACTTGTGCTGATTGTGATCTCCCCCCAGGGAGGCCTGGGGGCCACACACTCCCCAACGTAGGAGCTGCCGTGGTGGTTTCATCTGCCACGAACTTCCTGGTTTCTAGACAGTTGCAAAAATGTCAGACGCATGTGACCTTCTCTCTCCTTTCCAGCAGAAACCTGGAATGGTCCCCCCTCCACCAGGAGAAGAAAGCCAGACGGTGTTGCTCCCACCTGGCTGGCAAAGCTACTTGTCTCCGCAGGGCCGGCGTTACTATGTCAACACCACAACCAATGGTGAGTCCTACTCTAAGGGGCTCCAGGCACCTGTTGCCTTGGACTTCTGTCTCCCCTCCTTCCTTCACCCGCTACCTTCATCTTCAGTGTTTCTTCGGAGATCTGCCTGGAAATGCTGCAGTGGAGTCTTGCACTCCCCACAGTGCTGGGTGGTCGGGTGGGTCTGTGCTCTGGGAGCATATTCCAGAAGGAAACCTGCAACCCTTTAAGGTTGGTGTCAGCTTCACAGTACGGGGTCATTGCCGTGGAAAGATTCTGTAGTTCAATATAGGTTTAAACCAAGTCCAACGGGTTATGTTACTATATGACTTCTCAGAACTTTGAATGTGCTATATAACGTGCACCAGGGTTCCAAAACAGCAACTGCCAAATGCAGTGGATTGAATTGTGTTCCCCACAATATGTGTTGTAAATCCTAACCCCTCTACCTGTGGCTCTAGTGCCCTATAGGAAGGGGCTATGTTGGTTGTGTTAATGAATCGGGGTTAATGTCCATTGTGTCTTGAGTCCCATCTCTTTTGAGATATAAAAGAGATTGAGCTAGCATTCCAGAAGCAGACATGGGGAAAGAGCAGCCACATCACATCAAGATGTCCCAGAAACAGAAGTTCAAAAGAAACAAGGACTTTCTGACAGAGCGAAACCCTTCCCCTAGAGCTGACACCCCGAATCTAGACAGCTAGTCTCCTAAACTCTGAGAACAAAATTAAAGCCACCTATATGTGATATTTCTGTTAAAGCAGCACTAGACAGATGAAGACCCCCATGTATGGTTTCTGCAGTTAATTTCACTACAAAGATTGTTTTCTGTTTCCTGAAGCAAGCATCTCATTGGGCTGGTATTTCTCTGAATGTTCTTTGGAAATGCTTGATCTACTTTGGGTCATTCATTCTAATCAGTAACACAGTCTCCATGTGCATTTCAGAGTTATTCCTCACCTTGTCTGTAGGAACCTCTCTTCTTGTTCTTAGCAGCCTGTTGGTCACCAAGAGGGGCTCTTCATGCTTGCCATGATGGTGACTTCCCTGGGCACTGTATAGCGCTTCCCGGATATGTGGGTTCTCTAGTGACCTGCACCAAAAAAATAAACCTGTGCCATCAAGGCAATTCCAATTCATGACTGTCCCCATGTGTGTCACAGTAGAACTGTGCTCTGCAGAGTTTCCAGGCCTTTCTTCCAAGGTATCTCTGTGTGCACTCGAACTGCTAACCTTTTGATTAGCAGCTAAGCATTTAACTGTTTGCACCACCTAGGGACTTCGTACTGACCTGGAAGTAGGTTTATAAAAGGAGGATGTGCAGTGTGGCAGATTCTACACCAAGGAGAGCAAAGCATTGTTGCAGGCTGTGGTCTCTGGCTGTAATCAAAGCAGACCAAATCAGCTCCCAGCTCTCTCCTGAGTACCAAGACTCCCCAAGGAAATTGCCATGACAGGACAGAGAGGAAGAAAGCCTGGAAAATTAGATCTGGGCAGAATTTGAGATGTGCTTGCCAACGCAGCACATGACATCCACCCAAATCCACCAGTTGGTTCAGTCTTGGCTTCTCACTCCCATCATCTGTGTCCACCTGACTTGACGCCGTTTCTTCACACCAGAGTGACCATTAATACGGCGTAGGAGCATGAGCCTACTAAACAGGAGTATATATCACTGCTGTTCAGAGGGCTACACAAAGAAAGCAGCTGACAGCTGCCACTCTCAACGGCTTGTTTGTTCATATCCCTTGGCAACCAGTCTTCCGGGCTCGAGAGGCGGGTGTGTAGTTGAAGAAGTAACCAGGGTTTCTAGGAAAAGGGAAGTAAGACTATTTATGACCATTCTAATCTTAAATGTCCTCCAAGCAAGCCCATGATGTATGGCACTGTTATTAGAGACCCGAGGTTGTGAGGGATAGTGTGTTGATGTGCAACTCCCACCTGGACTTGCATACTTCGTACCAGATGGTCCCTGAGCAAGTTGACAGTAGTTCCAAATTAGTCACCCTACTGCAAAGGACCTGGTGGGGGAGGGTGAGTTTCTAATATTAACATGTTTATCTTTTTGTTTTTTTTGTTTTTTTTAAATTAAGAGCATAATATATTCTTAGGGTAGAAATTTAAAGAGCACAAAAGGATTTGAAATAAAAACTAGAAATCTCCAACCTAGGGTAATTATCGGGTGTATCCTTGCAGATACTCCTATTTTCTCTCTCCCTGAGCTTAATGTGTGCTTAATCTTTTTAGAAGGGAAATTGGTAAGTGTTATCCATGTTCTATAAATTACTTTGACAGATAGATTGCAGGCATTCCATACTTGAACACTTCATTCTTTTTAATAGCTGCATGGAGTCCTGGTGTGGTGCTGTAGGATAAGCACTGGACTGATAACCTCAAGGTCAGCAGTTCAAATCCACCAGCTACTCCTTGGAAACCCTATACAGGGTCTGTGAGAGACAACACTTCACAACAACAGTAGCCCATTGCATGAGTGTGTTATCATTAATTAACTAGATGTCTTTTTATCAATAGCAATCCCTGGGTGGTACAAATGGTTAAGTGTTTGGTTGGTGGTTCAAACCCACCCAGAGACACCTAGGAAAAAGGGTTGGCAATCTACTTCAGTGCCACTGTCATTGGAAACCCCATGGAGCACTGTTCTACTCTGACGCACATGGAGTGGCCAGGAATCAAGATAAACTCAATGGCAGTTATTACTGGCAGTTTATCTTTTTCACGAGCAATGTTACTGTTGTTGTTAGGTGGGTGCCATCGAGTTGGCACTGACTGATAGTGACCCTATGCACAACAGAATGAAACACTGCCAGTCCCATTCTAACCTCACAATTGTTGTTAATCCTGAGTCCATTGGTGCCACCACTGTGCTAATGCATCTCATTGGGGGTCTTCCTCTTTATCTCGGACCCTCCACTTTAGCAAACATGATATCCTTCTACAGGGACTGTCCCTCCTGGTAACATGTCTGAAGTCTGAGATAAGAAATCTGGCCATCCTGGCTTCCAAGAAGCATTCTGGCTATTTATTTCAAACTAGATGTATTCCAACAGGTCCCTGTGATCGGTAGATGGCTGCAGACAGGTTCTCTCAGTAATGCACTGGTCTTAGTTGTTAAGGGGTGCCTTCAAAAAATAAAAAGGTCTAATAATCTCAGAGGCTCAGAGGACACCGTGGTCAATTGGCAGAACATAGTCCACAATGACAGTGTGCTATATCCTACTTTGATGAGTAGAAACTGACATCTTAAAAGCTTATGAGCAACCAGTTAGTGCAGTGGACAGACGGATCGTGTGAACATCAGTCTTCAGTGTATAGGAGGAGATGTCAAGAAGCAATAGCTTCACATTTTGATATTTTGTTTAATAAAGACTGCTATGATTTTATAGCAATACTTTTTGACTGACCCTTTTTTTTTTTTTTTTTTAAATTGTGAGGAAGAAAGAATCTTTTATTATTTTCAGACGGCATAATGCTCTGTATATTGTTAGTCCCATTAACTTGGTTCTGACTTGTAACAACCTTATGGACCTTCAACACAACAAAATAACAAAATACTACCAGGTTCTACACAATCCTCACAATTGTTGTTATGTTTGAGTGCATTGTTGATGCCACTGTGTCAGTCCATTTTGTTGGGGGGTCTTCTTCTTTTTCACTGACCATCCACTTTACCAAACATGATGTTCTTCTCCAGGGACTGGTTCCGCCTGTCCACATGTCCAAAGCACGAAAGACAAAGTGTAGCCATCCTGACTTCTAAGGAGCATTCTTGGCTATACTTCTTCCAAGGCAGATTAATTTGTTATTCTGGCAGTCTATGGTATTTTCAATATTGTTCTCCAGTACCATAATTCATAATCATTGATTTTTCTATGGTTTTCCGTATTCAACTTTCACATACGTATGAGGCAGTTAGAAATACCATGGGTTGGGGTCAGGCCCACCGTAGTCCTCAAAGTTAAAGAGTCTTTGCTCTTTAACACTTTATTTTATTTTTTATTGTGAATTGAGTGACACTTTACAGAGCAGATCATCTGTTTTATATCCAACAAATGATATACTTCATTACATGGTTGCCATCCCCTCCAGGAACCAACAGTTAACAGGATTTACCTCTACTCACTTTAACTATTGCATTTCTCCCTGTGTCTCCTGCTACTTTCATCTTTTCCTCTGCTAACCTCCCTCTTATCTATTGCCTACCCTGTCATGTATGCTAACATGTGTCTACCATGTAGCCCACGGATGGAGAACATCTGGCCCATGAGCCAAAGGCCTGTGAAATCATGTGTTCTAGCCCTGCCAAGGCAACCGCAGCTCCAGCCATCACGTTGTTGTTCGAAAGTGCCATTGAGTCTGTTCCGATTCATAGGGACCCTGTAGAGGGTTTCCAAGGAGCAGCTGGTGAATGTGAACCACCGATCTTGCAGTTCAAACTGACTGCAGCCCCGCTCATTTACCCACAGTGCCACACCCAGACTGCTCATTTTTAAGTTGATAAGTTTGTATGGCCCACGAATGATGTTACAAATGTTGGCAGAAAAAAGGTTCCCTAGCCAAACGGAATGTAAATGTACCTCTCAAGAAACATAAAGAGCAGAATGGATAAGAATATAGGCTCTTTCAATGTGCTGTCTACAAGAGACATCAAAAAGATGAAGACAGCCCATGAATAATTTTCCCTACTCACCACTTCACCCCCTCATACCCATCATAGATTTTCTTTTACCAAGAAAACTTTTTTTATTGTTATAACACTGTTCTCATACAATGTTTGCCCTTTTGTGATTGACTAAGTTCACTCAGCAAAATGTCCTCCAGATTTAACCATGCTGTGAGGTGTTTCACAGATTTATTCTTTTTCAACAGTGTGTAGTATTCCACGGTATGTATGTACCAAGACTTGTTTCACTGGTCTTCTGTTGATGGGCATTTAGGCTGTCTCCATCTTTTTGATGTCCCTTGTAAACAGCATATTAAAGGATTCTGTTTTCTTATCCATT